ATCCATTTTAATCTTATGGATCGTTCCTAGAAAATTAAATATTCACACTTCTATTTAATCTATCTTAATTCAAATAAATTGTTAAATTCAAATCAATCATATTAAAGCATGTCAGTCAACAGATGAAGAAGTTATGGCACAAAAATTAGGCATCTGTAGTTCTGTACATGTATATTTGAACTTATACACTTTAATTGTGTTTGGCTTGGAGCAAGTTCTTCAATAACTATTAACTATATTGTTTGGTTTGAAAACTAAATTTGTTTTGACTAAATTTAAACGAAGAACTGTTATTATAGATATACAAAATAGTATATGAAGTTCCTTGTTCAAATTAATGTGATGGATTTATGCTTATTTAATCTGGAGATATTTTAAACTTAAATTATTGTCTCACTAAATTCCTTCGCATAAATTCTTTTCCCATGGATTTCAATCTTTGACTCGGCCAAGCATTTTCTCAAACACAATATATGCACAAATTCTGTAAACTATCAAAATTCAAGACTTTAAAACCCTAGCTCTCACAAATTCTCACTAGAAATAGCATTCAACAGCTTCTCATTTCAGAAATAAACAATCAGAATCACCATCAAGGCATCAACAAGACAAAATCTCGGCAAGAGATTCAAACATTGAGCAGAACAGGAAAAGAGATAACAGGGAATAGCAAGAGGAGAAGAAAGCTGCAGCGAGTGAATTAAAATACAGAGCAAGGAGAGAGAGTAGTTAGATACCTAAGAATTTTAAAGGAACGTGGAGAAGAAATTGCTGCTTTCTTGAAGAATCCAGTCACATAGAGCCGAGAGAGAGAGAGAGAGTTGAGAGGGAGACAGACGGTGTATTTTGTTTTTAGGAATTAGGGATTCGATCGTATATACCCAAATTCCCCCTAAAACATGGGCCATGTTTTTAGCCAAAAAGAACTTCAAAAAAAAATTGATATAAAAAAGTTTAAGGGACAGAGATTGAACCCTTGACCTGGGACACAGGGGCACCAACTTACCAATGCACCAAGGTAGTCAATTGAGCATAGGTGGTCACAAACATATTTATATAGATAATTTTTAAAATTGTTACTATTTATACATAGCCTAGGGAGGAGAGTATGGGTGCATGTACCCCACCTCTGGTTAGATGGCACACGTTCTTTGGTGGAATTTTAGATTGCGACAGAAAGAGATTAACACTAAACATTGATTAAAGAGATGGCCTGCTACAGAGATGCAGGCGGTTAGTGGCTACATGGATTTTTACCTTCCTATACCATATATGAAACCTTATTACCCCCAATGTTTAAGGTTTGTGTTAATTACATTTCAGCATACCAAATTACCATTTATATACCATAATTCAAATTAGGGATAAGTAAGGGTGCATTTATATTAGGCGCTAATTTAGGACCGTATCTTCACATTTACCTTTACCCGTCTCTCTCCCAACCCCCCCCCCCCCCGTAGAGTGTCGAATAGTCACTACACTAATACT